AACACTGCAAACTAAGTATTGGGAACACCACTTTCAAGAAAAGGAAACAGCTTCAGCAGACTGAGTGACTCGCTTTAAGTCCCAATAGCCAGGTAGTCTCCAAGTTCTTTATTTTAAAGGAGGCTACTTATGACAGGTCTATATGTGAGTTCATTAAATGACAATTTTATTATTATATAATCCCCATTCTGTAAACAAGAGTCATATCCCAAATACCAAATAAATGAGCCAGTCCTAAAATGAATTAGTGAGCTAAATGGCACAGGTATGAATTAAACCTATATTCATATTTCTCTGTATTTTATCCTTATTTGTGTCTTTTTGGGGGGGGGTGGAGAAGGAATGAGATTTAATCCATCTGTGCTTTACCACTGAGCCATATCCCCAGTCCTTTTTATATATTTTTAAAAATTTGAGACAGGGTCTTACTAAGTTTCTAAGGCTGGCCTTGAACTTGTGATCCTCCTGCCTTAGCCTTCTGAGTCACTGAGGTATATACCACCATACCTTGCTCTCTTTCATACCTTTACAGGATCAATATATGGTATTATGCTCCCATGTGTTCTTTTCTGTCTTTTTGTATCAAAGAAGCACAGTTGTATAGGTACTAATGATCTGTTGGGCAAGAATCAAATTAAACTCAAAATATATTAAAAGCAAATAAAAATATATTAATACCTTGTCATCTGCATGCAGTGAGGTCTGCATTTTGCACAGAAGGGCTGAGCTTGTGAGAAAACAGACTCCTAAAAACAGGCACCTGTTTCTCTTTCCTCAAATATTCATGGAGATCATAATAACAACTAAACTGAGATGACACTATGGAAACTTATTTTTTATATTTCACAAAAGGTCTCCCTCTCTAATTGTCAAGTATTTTACTTATGGAAAAGAAAATATGCACAGAATTTATTAATGACTTAAAATTTTTTCTTTCCAGAAAACTGACTGGTTAAAATTAAATGGAGATCTATTTGGCTGAAGATTCTTACACACACACACACACACACACACACACACACACACACACACACACAGTAATATAAATGATTTTTGCTATTTGATACTGAAAAGACAATCAGTGATGGTTTACCTGACTTAGCTTTTGGTATTCTTTGCTACAATGATATGTTAACATGATTACAGAAGCCCATGATCGATAATTCCCATGCAAGCTATTTTTGTTCTGTCTGTGGGTGGGTCTAGTACAGCTTGTCAGTATTTCCTCCTCCACATCCTGGCACTACTTAATTAACATTAAAAGGTTAGTCAACCAAATGCTAACAAGCAATGAATTCAGTTGCATGGGGGCTAAAAAAGCAGAACTTTATTAGGTTACTACTAATTTTTATAGTATAAACATCCACAAGCATGATTCCATTTTTCAGGGCCATCCCTGTCCTTATGGTACTTCTGTGCCAATTAGAAAAAAAGTGGCACTTCATAAACTGATGAAGTCTCACACAGGGAAGACTTGCTGAAGGGAAAAGAGATGAAAACACAGCTACTCATACTTGATGTTGTACCATAAACTTTTCAACTGTACTTGGAGGTCTTGTACTCTGTTCCCTACCAGTCCTTTGAGTAATGAGACAAGGGTGACATCAACAAAGACTGACTTGCTTCCTTTGCATCTTAGGTGCATAGACTTTGGAGCATGTCTTCAATAGCTCCAACATGATAAATAAAGTATGTTTCCTAATATTTTAATAAATTATCTATCTGGCCCAATGTTTCTCAACTCCAGTAATCATTAGAATCACCTGGCACAAAAAAAAAAAAAAGAAAAAAAACCAATTTCGGGACTTTAGATTAGACTAGATGCAACAAACTACCACTGCATCAAGAATTTTTATGGGTGGGACCAAGACATCAACATTTTAAAACATGCACACTCATAAACAATAACAGCAACAAAACAAACTCAGATGATTCTGATGCACAGTAAGAGGTGTGAATCAAAGAAGCTGTTCTCTTTTCACTATAGCTAAATATAACTGAAGTTCTTAAATGCATTTTTTATTTGCTTTATCCTCTTTTTAGGCAGTAGGCTTTTTATGAGAAGAGACTCATCTCCCAAGTACCTTTGGCCCTTCTTTAGCACAGAATCTTGAAACAGAAAGTTCAAGTAATTGATAGTAGAAAAAAAGAAGATCTAAGGATTAAGTTGAAAATTTTAAAAGTGGTTATACCCAAGATTGAGATTATGGGTGATACTTTCTTCTTTTTCCTATCTGTATTTTCTAAGTGTTCTATTATGAACAGATACTACTTTAGTTAAAAAAATGTGATTTGCTAGAATTATCTAGAAACTTTAAGAGATAAAGAATGCTATTTCACTTGCTGAAATAATTGTATAACTGAAATATGTACAAATCATAATTCTTATTAATAAAAAGGTCACAAGTCTACAGATGCTTTCTGGTTGAACTCCAATTAGCACTTGTTCCTAATACTTCATTTTTAGGTTTCTGGTATTTCAATGTTTCCCATTTGTTCAAGTACCTGACCTCAACTTGACTAATAATCATTAAATCAATATTGAAAATTCCCAACTTATATCCTATTTATAGACATACATTCACTCATCCTTTTAATAAATAGTTTATAGAGTAGCTGCTTCTTACAAACCATACTAAAAAAATACACACACACACACACACACACACACACACACACACACATTGTCTACTCTCCAGGAGCTTACAATCTAGTCAGACAGAAATGGCTCAGAATATATATTTCTGCACAGACGATAAGTACTATAGGAATGCAATGTAAAGAAAAGTTACTTTGGGTGCAGATCAGGAAGGTCTTCACACATCAGATCATCTAAAGTGGGCACTGGAACAGCAACAGGTGGCCAGGTATGGTGGTACACTAATACAGCAACTCAGGAAGCTGAGACGGGAGGATCACAAGTTCAAGGTCAGCCTCAGCAACTTAGGCAGACCCAGCAACTTAATGAAACCCTGTCTCAAAACAAAAATGTAAAAAGGACTAGGGATGTGGCTCAGTGGTAAAGTGTCCCTGCGTTCAATCTCCAGTACAAAAAATTAAAAAATAAAAAAACTGGAAGCTAAGTGATGAAGAACATAAGGAAAGGTGGAAAAAAACAAGCCATGTTTGGAATCTGAGTAGAATTCCTGGCTAGAGAACAAACTAAACAAGAAAACAGGCACTCAGGAAAGTTTAGAGTAGGTAACACCTCAAATACCTTCTTATCTAAGTTGGCCTATCCAAATGGTATTCATCTGTCTCCTTCAAGTTGGTTCTCTTCCTAGCTTTTGATTCCTAGAGTTTCTCAACTTTCCCTGCCCTGGAAGTCTATTAAAACTCTATGCATGCACCTGGTTAAGGCTGATAATTTTTTATCAGGGAACCAAATCGAGACATTTTAAAAATTGTAAACAGCTATAAGATACTAATTATTAGTCTGGCATGGTATTGTGTGCTTGTAGTTAAAGCTACCCAAGATGTGGAAAGGATCCCAAATTCAAAACCAGTCTGGGCAATATAGCAAGACCCTGTTTCAAAAAAAAAAAAAATTCAAATGCTAATGTCATTATTCTCTAATTCTTTCATTATTAATCTTTACAAAACTTGTAACTCTGATCTTGCTACACCCTGCAAGAATGTCCTATTTTTCTTCCTTTAAAAAGAGATACATTTTTAAATGTTCTACAGATCTTGCAACTGGTTGCTACTTACTGTTCTTATTTCTTAAGGATATAAACCATCTTCCATCACTGAGCTTCCACACATGCTGTTTCCTCTGGAAACGTCATTCTCTACTCTAGTTAGCATCTATTCAGTCCAAATCTGTTTTTATTCTCACAAAACCGTGTTTGTTTGCGTTAGAGAAATCGGTTTGATTTATGCATTTTGGTTTGTATTAAACTGATTATCCCTCCCCCTAGAAAATAAACACCATGGGAGAGGCAACATTGCCATTCACATGCCTGAGCATACCAGGCACTCGGTTGACCCTAGTTGAAAGAATAAGTGGTAGGTTTCTCTTTCAACTACACTGCAGGTATGCTGGTGCCTGTTTTGGCTCTACTTGAATGAACAGTCATTTCTTACATGTGCTTACTAAATACTCTTCTACAAACAATTGCAAAATGCCTAAAAAGTCCTGAATTACTTGCGAAATCTTAACGTCACTTGGGTTGGCGGGAAGGGGTTGGCAGGGCATGTAGGTAGTAGCCCGCGGATGAGAATTCAGGACTTGAAAGACATGCTTTATATCCGAAGCATTTCTCAATCTGCAATCAGCTTCTTTCGTCCCGCGCAACTCAAGATATGCTTTTGGGGGACGCTGGACGAAGACTGTGACAAAGAGGAATGTATTCGCCAGGAATGACCCCAGGAGATGCACTCGCCCTCAAAGGCAGTCCGTAGCCTGGAATTAGGTCATCTCGACCGGCACCCACCTCCCGAAGCAGCTTCAAGTCGCCGTGTTGAATCTCGTACAGCTGAATGACGCCAGTGCCCCGAGCGAAATTGCCCATCGTCACAAATTTGGCGCTGCAAGGCACCCACTTACAGTCAAACACCGTGTAGTTGAGGCCTTTCTGGATGTGGGCAATGATCTGAGGCTTCTCGAAAGCCGACATGGTTTAGCTGATTTCACTTCTAACAACAGCCACACCCAGACAGACAAAAAACTAACCTGGAAACCAGGCTCCAAACATTAAAGACAGTTTGTCCTTCCCGCTAGCCGTACTTGGTCTCCAAAAGCCCTAACAAGTTGGACATAGTTATCTCCAAAAAGGACAGATGTATTACTGAGATCGCACGAGACGTTTCTGCACAAACACAACAAATGATTTATCGCTTTTACCAACCATCCTCACACATACACATGTTAGAGATTATTAAGTGGCTTGGCTGTGAGTTGAACGGCTAGAAGGCAACCCTAGGAATCAGGCATATTTTAGGACAGCTCAGGCATACGCTCGCACAAATTCTGCTTCAGGACCCCGGCGTGGGACCTCTTAGAAAGGGGGCGGAGCCCCGGTGTTGATTGGCGAAGGCTGGCTCCTGTGCGGCGCGCCTGCGTAGTGCAGAAGTGCACGTGTTGGAGTTGGAACTTCTAGTCCGCCGTCGAGATGGCCGAGATGGAGACACTGAGCGCTGGGGCTGAGGACGGCTTCACCCAGGTCACCCGCAAGGGAGGCCGGCGGGCGAAGAAACGACAGGCAGCGCAACTGTCCGCAGCAGGGGAGAGTGGGGACGCGGGCTGCATGGACACCGAAGAGGCGCGGCCGGCGAAGAGGCCCGTCTTCCCTCCCCTCTCTGGGGACGGACTTGTGGTACTTGTTGGGGGACCAGAGGCTGATCAGGCTGGTAGTCTTTGCATGATATTGAATGTGGGGGCTCTGTTGCCGTGAAGTGACTCTTCTGAAGTTTAACTTGGTTAAAGAGTAGCGTTTTATAAGTCTGCTGTCATTTTACAACCCCGCCCTCCACCCTCATTCCTCCTCGCGTCTCCTGAGTTGTTTTTTTTTTTTTTTCCTTTAATTGCAGGGTGGAAAAGAAGAAACGCGGAAAATTCCAGTCCCAGCGAACAGATACACACCATTAAAAGAAAACTGGATGAAGATATTTACTCCTATTGTAGAACATTTGGGACTTCAGATACGCTTTAATTTGAAATCAAGAAATGTAGAAATCAGGGTAAGGAGAATGTCAACTATTTCCGTATACACCAAGTTTTTCTCTACTCCAGGGATGAAAAAGTACAAGCAGATTTTCCTTCAAGGGACCTGTTTAATTAAATGGTTTTCTTCAGTTTTTAAATCTATCATAATGAGTCTGAACTTACCAAGTGTATTCAGAATCTGCATTTAATACAAATTCAAATTGCATTCCAGAATTGATTCCGAGATCATATTAAAATACTGGCTACCTGTGTGTATTTTCTATAATGTTTTGTGTTGAAGAAAACAGAGTAAAGAGATTGCCATACAACCAAGTGTATAAATAATAAATTTTAAGTCCTTGCTGTAGTACAAAACACTTTATTCATTTGCCTTTTTATTTATTTTTGGTACTGTGGATTGAAGCCAGGAGTGCTTTACCACTGAGCCACATCCCCAGCTCTTTTTCATTTTTAAAATTTTGAGATAGGCTGTCACTAAGTTGCTTGGGCCTCCCTAAATTGCTGAGGCTAGCCTAGGACTTGAAATCCTCCTGCCTTAGCTCCCTGTATCACTGGAATTACAGGCATCAACCTCTGTGCCTGGCTCAAAATACTATATGTTTTAAAGGTATCCTTTTGATCTGTGTTACTTTGAGAATGAATGTTGCACACATATATGTACATGTTGTCATTCTATGGTGTCACTCCAGGAGTTAGACATTAAAATTTTATTTTGGACTTTTTTTTCTGGGTTCCAATTTTGTATGAGAATCAGTAACCAACATTAATGTATTTTCCTTTCTGAGGATTCTTATACTGGCATTAGGACAAAGAAGCACAACTGTAAATAATTGGTATGTTTTAAAATATCTTAGGTTGTGATGGTAGAACCCCTCTTTGTTCCCATCATCACTTGCATTCAGGTGTTTATGATTTCAGGTGAAGACTTCCTGTTTCCTTGTAATTCCCCCACATCATTGTTTTAAGTCTTTCTCTATGTCATTTGTGCCAGATTTTCTTAGACTACAGTACTTATATTTTGATGTCCTGGTTTCCTAAGCATTTCTAAAGAATAAAAGTTAAGTGTTTCACCGCCTTTCATGTGGGAGACCCTATCATAAGTTCATCTCTCACCATTTCTTTATGTCCATACTTTTTGGTTGCTTTGCTTTCTGAAAAAGGTCTTCACTTCCCTGCTCATTTTCTCTTCCTTCTTCAGTTCTAGTTATCTTTCAAAATCTAGCTCAAGTTTTTTCTCCCTTATTATAAGTCCATTTTCAGTCTTTTCTTCAGTGCCTAAGCTTTTATTGTATTTTGCTCTTGTTTATTATAGGGTCATCACTTTGGTTATCTTCAGTGATGCTGCCATATAGCAGGCACATAGTGGTACTTTAACATGCACTACATTATTTGGTCTTTAGGGCAGCAGCTCTATGAGTTAGATGATTATATTCCACTGTTATAGATATGAGGACACAGCATTAAAGAAATGAATTATCTTGGCCAAAGTAATCAGGCCAGTGTGACTATTGATGCTAGTAGGAACCACTTAGGACCTTCCTTTCTGACTTTATTTTATAAACTTAAGTCCTGGAGTACCTTCGAGACTTGCCCAGAATCGTATATAGGAATCGTATCTGTAGTCTAGTTTTAAATGTGAAAATGTAGGATTTTGTCAAATATGTGATCTCTTCAAACAGATTGTGAATCTGGGTGGGAAAGTAGAAATAATAGTTTTGGAATCAGTGTTTGAATCTTATCTATTTTTACTTTTTAGTATTTTAGTTTTCTAATATATAAAAGTATTTATAATTAGCTAGGCACAGTGGTATGTATTCATAATCCCAACTACTCAAGAATCTAAGGTGGGAGGATTGCAAGTTCAAAGCCAACCTGAGCAACTTGGCAAGATTCTGTCTCAAATTTGAAATATTAAGGTCTGAGAATATAGCTCAGCGGCAGAGCACTTGTCTAGCATTACAAGGCCATGGGTTCAATCCCCATAAATACAAAAAAAATTTTTTTATTTATATCATTTAACATTCAAGGTTGCAAGGTTACATAGATCAGAGGTATAGTGTTAAGTATGCTATTTACAGTGGTAGGCATTTTATCAATAGTGGCTGTTTTTGCTATTATTTATTTWTTTTTTTTTAAAGAGAGAGTGAGAGAGGAGAGAGAGAGAGAGAGTTTTTTTAATATTTATTTTTTAGTTCTCGGCAGACACAACATCTTTGTTGGTATGTGGTGCTGAGGATCGAACCCGGGCCGCACGCACGCCAGGCGAGCGCGCTACCGCTTGAGCCACATCCCCAGCCCTGTTTTTGCTATTATTAAGTAAATAATTTGATGTCAAAATCCCTGCTTAAAACTTTCTTGGTTTCCCCTTCAGTTCCAGGCATATATGTAGTTAGGACCAGAGTTATTGATTGGAAGACATCAGCATATAGATAATTGAATAAAGATTAGGTCACGATTCTTAGGGAAGATGAAGGAGAAGAGAAGATGATGAGCTTGCTCATTGAAAGGGTGGAAAAGATGGAGGGCTTTCAGAGTGTGATCCTTTGGGCTGAGCCACAGGAATGTTGTGGTAACCTCAGAAGCCTGACCAGTAATAGAATGCATCCAGTCATTTGACAATCTTTGGGTGGAACTGCCCTGCTAGGGAGCTAGGAAAGTTTTGTTTTGCAAACTGAAGACAGTGTTCCCAAAACTGGGTTGTAGACTATGCTGGAGAAGGGTGATGGTGAATGGAGTTATAATAATGGGAAAAATTATTTCTAGTATTTTGTTAAAACTATTTTGTTTTTCATTGCTCTCTATAAATCTGTATTCTTTTCCCCCACCCAGACTTGTAAAGAAACCAAGGATGTTAGCGCTCTGACAAAAGCAGCTGATTTTGTGAAAGCCTTTATTCTTGGGTTTCAGGTGGAGGTGAGTGATTTCATGACATTTAAATGGGAACCTGAAAAATATCCAATGTGGACATTTCATTGGATTAATCAATTTTTAAAAATTTGTCTTCTAACTCTAGAGTCTGAATTTTAGTTCCTGTCACTCATTCTTGGTGTCTAAATGGGATTGCCCTCACAGTGTTTATTTTTATATTCTAGGATGCTCTTGCCCTCATCAGATTGGATGACCTCTTCTTAGAGTCTTTTGAAATTACAGATGGTAAGCATGTCATGGTCTTCTTGTGAAATACTTTTCTTTTGTATTGCTGACTTTGTATCATGTTGTAACTTTAAATTTTCTAATAGCATCAGTAGAACTGTGTTATTAGCACTTTTTAAAAAAATGTAAGTTTATATCATTTAATAGGGAAATTTGATTAATGATTAAACTTTATGTGGAATGGGGTGATGCCCTGGAGTAGGTTACCACCTGAGGTCTTGCTTTTCTTCTCTAGTTAAGCCCCTAAAGGGAGACCACCTGTCAAGGGCAATAGGAAGAATTGCTGGCAAAGGAGGAAAAACCAAATTCACCATAGAGAATGTGACGCGGACGCGGATAGTTTTGGCTGATGTGTAAGTTTCTGATCATGAGAAAATTATTTTGTCATAATTTATATTTGATCTTTTGTTAGTTTCAAAAAAGTCATGTTATATTTTATGCTTAATGTTGCCACTAAATATTTGTCAATATATGGTTCTGAATGAGTAGTTACTGTTTTTAGATTAAAGTTGTTGAAAAAAATTTCAGTAATTTTAACTTTTTTCTCATTTAGCAATAATAGAAATATTTAGAATCACTATTAAAAGAAACTGTATTGCAGATAAATTAATCAGGGAATCTATTGATTCGTTAGGAGAGAGTATGCAGTAGGTACTTTAAATACCATTGTGAGATTTTCCTTTAAAATCCATAGCTTGTATTTTTTGTAGATTTATGTGTGTGTGTGTGTGTGTGTGTGTGTGTGTTTATATTTCAAGGCCTTTCATAAAAGGAAGATGCATATTGTGCATTGGGTAAAAATAGCTATCAAGTAGTTATATGTGAACATAAATAAGATGATATGGGCTTAATGAGGATAAGAGTGCTGAAAGCAAAGCTGGGATTACCCCTCTCTAAGGTTGAATCTTCTCTGCTGCCAGGTTGTGGATTGTACTGGTACATGACTTGAAGCTTATATAATGCTATGAAGTTGAGAAATGAAGCAGTTGATTAAAGGGAGGAGGGACCTGCTTACAATTAAATCCAGAAAAAATTTCATTTAAGATCATCTCACTTTTGCTCTAAACTCAGGGAGTCATCATTATTTAGGTTCTAAATTTTAGACTTCCATTGTACTTTACAGATAACTACAATACTGTGTTGGTGGCCCTCTACCTGATGCCAGGTGTATTCTGCTTTTGATCTTTTATGGATTGAGCCTAGAGTTGTTAATTTAGAACTCCAAAGATAAAAAATTATTTGCTTGTGAAGTTATGGCTTAAATTTAATTATTGTTAAATTGCTAATTTGTAAATTTAGTAGTGTTAACTTAAAACTTAAACCATTCTTTAACAGTTTACTATGGCATAACTTACATACAATAAAATTCACTTATTTAAGTGTCTGGTTCAGTGAGTTGGGAAATGTAGTCCTGTTGCCCCATCACAACCTCATAGTTCATCATACTGAAAGTTCCTCTGTGCATCTTTTCAATGTTCCTTCACTCACTGTGTTCTCAGGGAAGCACTGCTTTACTTCCTATCACTGAGTTTTGCCTTTCTAGAAATTCATGTAAGTAGAAATATACAGACAAAGGCTTTGGTGTTTGACTTCTTTTAATTAGCATGTTGTTCTGAGTTTCTCCATTTTGTTAGTAGTAGTTCCTTTTTGTTGCCAACTGTTATCGAATAGACATTGCATTTTGTATATTCATTCACAGTTGATAGATATTTGGGTTATTTCATTTGGGGGGTATTATGAATATGTTGCAATAGAATTACTTTTTATATCTTTTGTATTTTTGTTAAACTTATTTACAAACTACTTCAAATTTAATAGATGTGCTTGTTTTTATAAGCTTTTGCTATAAATAGACTAATTGGAAACCCAGTGTGTAACAATTTATATTGTGAAATAATCATAAAGTAGACTATTATACAGCAGTAAGTGGTTGTTTTTAGTTTAATGAATTGCTAATAACCTGGCAAAGTGTAGTACAATGTGAGCAATATATAAAAATAAAAACAATTTGTTTCAGATATATTCAGAATACCAGATTGGATGCTTATGTGCCCTGAGACCTTCATTCCTTTGCAACTATTACCCCCACCCCAGGTTACTTTGGTTATTTTAGTAGCAAAAGTAGTCCTACTTTATCTGTTCTTGTTTTCTGTATTTCTTTGTCTTTCATGCTGCATTTTATCAAAGTGTGATATACATGTAATTTGAAAAACCAAAAATGTCTGCCATATACCTCCATTTCACACTCTTCAGAGGAAACAAGTTTCATTTCTCTTAGCTAATTTTAAAATGTATTTTTCTTGAGCCAGGTACAGTGGCAGGTGCCTGTTATCCTAGTTACTTAGGAGGCTGAGGCAGTCAAAGGCGAGTGTGAGGCCAGCCTGGATAATGTGAGACTCTGTCTCAAAAGGGCTGGGGATATAGCTCAGTTGGTAGAGTTCTTGCCTTGCATGCATAAGGCCCTGGGTTCAATCCGCAGCATCATCATAATAATAATAATAGTTGCTGTTGTTATTATTATTATTTATATCTATATTTCATATGTCTTCCTGACATACAGCTTCTCAATTTATTTTTCAGCCATGAAAGATGATATAGCTTTCTTTCACACCCTCTTCTGTCTGCACTGCATACACTCGGCTTCACTAGCACTTCCAACTTATTCTTCACCATACAGCCACTTTGTTTTTTCATTAGTCCAGGGTCAGTGTCACATGAAAACAGAAGTCAGTGCTCAGTATATTCTATAGCCGAACCAAGTGGTCTCTCTCCTTTGCAACTTTGACTTCACTTGAGGAGGTGTGTCAGTGTGTTTTCTTAATTTTCAGTGTACTGATTCAGCAAAGAGCTACTCGTCATTTATATCTCCTCTTGGTCTATTTGGATGCATCAGACATTTTAGAAATCTCTCCTGGAGCCTTCTGTTCCCTAAGCACCCACCCACCCTCTCTCTATCTCATACTGACTCCTCCTTTCACCTTTGCCCTTTTTGCTATTAGAATCCTTGGTTCCCAGTGTCTCTTTCCTTGAGTTTTGCTTCAGGATGTTCCCACTGAGTTAGGTGTCAGGTCACTTGGGTCTACAAAGTTAATACCCACACATCTATCTGCTTTCCACCTCCCAGAATGTATTACCTTCATCATCCTCTTCCTTTGGGTTTAGGTCTGAACTGTCATTTTAGTGGCATTTGGGGAAGAAGCATACTTAAGTGTTGAGTCTGTCTGCTGGTATCTGGAAGAGGAGCATTTTAGAGAGAAGGAAAAACATGAAGGTCCTAAGTTGAGGGCATGTCTGGCAGCATAAGGAGGCCTTATGGGCCTGGTAAAGTACACCACAGGGGAATTAGGGATGTGAACAGAAATCACCACACCATGGGGTCACTGTAAGGACTTTGGCTGTTACTGTGTCAGTGGGGAGCCATTGGATGAGTGTGTTCAGCTGAGGGAAAGCAGGGTGTATGTGTTGGGGAGTTAGGGATGGGGAGGGAGGTGTAAAGATTGGTAAGATCAATAGATCAGAAGTCCTGGCGGGGCTCTGGACTATGATATGGGTGCATTAAGTGGTATGAAATGAAATGACAGAAGGTGATGGAGACTGAATGTTTGAAATTGAAAGTGTGGAGGGGTTGTAGTTTTTAGTAATGACAAATCCAGACAGTGACCACAGAAGTGAAAGTTTGTGGAGTAGCTTGGAAAACAAGATCYAGGGGCTGGGGATGTGGCTCAAGCGTTGGCGCGCTCACCTGGCACGCGTGCGGCCTGGGTTCGATCCTCAGCACCACATACAAAGAAAGATGTTGTGTCTGCCGATAACTAAAAAATAAATATTAAAATTCTCTCTCTCTCTCTTAAAAAAATAAATAAATGATAAGTTGATGGGTGGGTTTTTATATTAAAAAAAAAAGAAAAAGAAAACAAGATCCAATATTGGTATAAAATATGTCAGGGACCCAGTAAGCTAGGCTAGGGTGTTGGAGTTAGTTATCTTCATAGATATTGAAATGATCAGAAATTGTGATGACAGTAGTCAAAGACAGTGAGCCAGGAGTGAGCTAATGTTTTTGAGGATGATCTGTGGGGACAGCTGAGGACCACAACAAAGCAGGTTAGTAGGTCTGAAGAGAGTAGATTCAAAGCTAAAGGTTTTTAAGGTGGTGAGTGTCTGAAGATGGCAAGAGAAGTCAAGAAGGCCCTGCCCCCTTCAGCCTCAGTGGTACATGATTCATAGAAAAAAAACTGGTTGCATTTGAGAGGTACGTTTTAGTTAAGAAATGATGTGAAGAGGATGTTAACAGAAGTTGAAGATATGGCAGATTTAGCTCATGACTATTGTAGAGGACACAGTGAAAATGGACTCAAAAAGCAAAATTATTACCAATCATTTGAGTCATTTCATGATGAATAACTATTAAAAACAGTCCCGTGATCCTCACCAAAAAAAAAAAAATTTAGATAATCTTTAGAAAGCTTTGCAGTTGAAACTGAGGTATGATGTTATTTAAGTACACTTTTACTTGCATTTCTGAGTGTTCATTCAATTTTGCCAGTGTATAGTCTTGGACAGGCTTCTTGATTTCTCTCCAGTCTGGGTACTGATGATTGAACCCCAGAGCCTTGTGCATGTGCTAGGCAAGTGCTCTAATACTAAGCTGCATCTCCAACCCTAGGTTTCTTGATTTCTTATAACCTTCTTTTCTTATGTGTGCAATGGGAATAACTTCTACCTAGTAAAGTTTATGTGATGATTATGTGAACATATACATAAAGCCCTAGCACATGAAAGCACTTAATGGTAGCCCTAGTAAGAAAGAATCTTAAAGAAATCTTAGTTTGTTTTTAATTTTTGTATTTTCTGATAATTTTTTATTGGGATACAATTCATATATCATAAAACTCACTCTTTAAAAATTTACTCGTTAGGATGTTTACAGAGTTGCATGGCCATTACCTTGCCTTCATGTAGAAATGGGAATCTTATGATTCTGCAGAGTCTTTGGATTATAGGATTTAGGTAAGGAAATGCTGTTTGTGGCTAACTGGTCTCACTTTATCTCTTTCAGGAAAATTCACATCCTTGGCTCTTTCCAAAACATCAAGATGGCAAGAACTGCCATTTGCAACCTCATCCTGGGTAATTGCAGTGTACCTTTTTTTTTTTTTTTTTTTTTTTTTTTTGTATTTTCTCTTGAAATAATAGGGAATTTAGGAATTCAAACCCCATTTGCAAAGCAGTTTAGGTTATTGTGGAGAAGCTCTTCTAAGTTAGCAGATATGGACCTAGCGAAAAATGTTGAAGTATTTGCTTAGATTCATTTGTCTTCTAGAGAAGATAAAGGTTTCATTGGGTAATATTACTTAAATCTTTGGTGCTGTTCCCTGAGTAAGTACATAAAAAAACATTCCAGAAGAGAGAACACCAGGGGAACTGCTGTAAAGCTTTAGTCAGTTTGTTTCCTTTAGTCCAAGTTGCTCAGAAAACCTGGGGATTCTCCTATTGCTGACAGGCTCCTTTTTGAATTATCTTGATATTCAGTGCCTTTAATTGAGAATATTTGGGTATATTTTTCTGTAGGTTCTTTTCATGATATAAAGTAGATCCAATTTAAAAAATGTCCTTGGTCTTATTAGGGTTGTAGACTTTTTTTCCATAGAGTCTGTGTGAGTATATCAGTGTATGTAAACTACTTATTTTTTCCTTTACAGGAAATCCTCCATCAAAGGTTTATGGCAATATTCGAGCTGTGGCTAGCCGAGCAGCAGATCGGTTCTGATTTCAAATCAGAGACTTTTTATCTCATCTTTGGACTCTTAAAGAAAAAGACCTTGTACCCTGAAGGTGATCACATGAAACCATGTGAATTATTTTTTAGTCACTTTGAGACTGGATCCTTTCTTCTGTTCTCAGCAAGAAGTATAAACAGGAAAGATTTAATAGTATTCACACTGAATAGCTTTTTGGATAATTTAAATGACAGAATCTAATATTATTATTATATCTACATGTGTTAAGCTTTATTTTTTTGTTTTTTGGTTTTTCTTTTTAATGATGGGAATTGAACCAAGAGACTCCTCATGCATAGTAGACAAACATTTTTCCACTAAGCTGCAGCCCAACCCTTCTTTACTCGTTTTTTTTTTTTGGTTTTTTTTTTTTTTTTTTTGAGATAGGGTCTACTTAAGTTGTCCAGACTGCCTCAAACTTGCAATTCTCCTGCCTCAGATTCTCAAGTAGCTGGGATTACAGACTTGTGACACCATAACCAGCAATTTATCGTGTTTTTTGTTTTAAATTACAGAAAACAGATTTGCAATTTGGAATTCTCTCATGTAGAGGAAATTTCTTGCTTAAACAACTTCTGTATGAATTTTTAAGTTTTTATTTATAAATTTATAAACATTTCTGTAAATTGTAATTAAAAGAATTATCTCAAATAACCTATGAATCATGACTTTTCCTTAATACTGGTATTATGGAAACACTTTAGAATCAGGTCATGAGCAGCAGTTTTGACTCTACTGTATGAATCAATAACTGATAATCTTTTATACCAGTTTTGAAGTTTGTAAAATTAAAGACCTGCATCACAAGGTTGATGTTAAAGTTTTTCAAATATTTAACAAAGTAGTCAGACAAAAGATGTTGGATATATTTCTCCTAATCAGCAAAGTAGTTAAAAAAAAAATCCCTTCCCCCAAAAAACTGTTCTGCAAATGCAGTGATAAACTAGTGTCTGATAAGCTATGATCTAATATTTTATTCATTTTTAAAAGGGAAGAAACCTACCCCATAAATCATTTGATGTTGGTAACTATTCTCTGGTACAAATGAATAACACTTGATCAAAACTTTTAATGATGGGAATAACAGAAAGTTCACTCAAGAATTAAACTTTATTTGTACTCTATCAGTTACATGTGTCCCAAACTAAACTACTTTTTACATTGCATTGGTTGGAATATTCTTAACCAACCAAGAATCCAGCTGGAAATTGCTGAGTGTGTCCCACCCATTGGCAAGGGTAATGTGTATGTGTAGGTATTACAATCCTTTACTTGCCTTGTTGAAGTGTATTTTGGTACTTTGTTATTACTGCAGCCTGTACAGTCTTTAGGCATTATTGCCCTTCCACCCCACCCTTTGCCCAGGAAGGTACTTTCAAAACTGACTACTCCTTAGTATATATTTTTTGGGAAACAAAGTTGACAGCTTTAATCCAGTTCCGAAGCAGACTGAAGTGAACCATTACAAGGCAACTATAAATGTTTTGTGTTAGTTTTTAAGGAACTGAGGCAGGAAGTAAAGGGCATAATTTTGATTAGAAAACTTTGGGTTCTCTGTTAAAGTGAAATAATGTTTTGGTTTTGTTAGAATATACTTCCTTTTAAGGATTTATTATGTAGTTGCAACTATCAGTAATACAATAGAGCAAACATGTTTCCTTGGTATCTAAAAATTTGGGATGCTGAACTTGAAAGACTTGTTTTGAGCCCCTCTTTAGTCAAGAATTTATATCACACCCCTTCTGGGGGATGGGGCGTAGTAGCACTTTGGGTTTTAAAGGGAGACAGCATGTTAGAGGGTAGCTGATTGTTGGAATAGAAATGGATGAAGAAAGAATGAAGATAATAAATTTGACTATCACACTGGTAGTTGATCTCAACGGCCTGGATCAAATCACTTTAAACCCTTCTCTTTAAGGCAGAGCACTAAGTCTAATCTCAAAACTTATCCAGGCTTATCCACATTTCTATAGCATTTGTTGTGTTTATCACAATTCCTATTCTGATTTATTAGTTTACTGATGTAATTAATACATGCCTGGGGGATGGGCCCAGGAGTATTTTCTTAGGTATTCTGTGGCTAAGGGAGGAGACTGAGGGTTTTCTCATCATTTCAGAAGACTTGGGCTCCAACTCTTAGGCTGCCTGGAACTATGATGGTAGGTAAGAAACCTAATGTTTGTTGATCATGTGAGAAATAGCCCTGATTTTCCTGATCCTAGAGCCATATTAACCATGTTAAGATGGGAAGCATGTTTAATGTTAGATTTCTGAAAGTATACAGTGACCACACACATAACCATTCTATAACTTATAAAATACTTGTGCGAAAAATCAATTATTTCTTTGATCAAAGAAACCAATGAATTCTACAGAAGGCTTGAGAGATCAAGGACTCACCCATTTGATTTGGTTAGCTGATAGATTCTAATGCCCAATGGAAGTGAAAGATTGAAATAGCAGTGGACTTAAATGTTTAGCTAATGCAAGGGGAAATTTTTTAGTGTGGGGAATCTTTGAAGACTAAGAATATTTCAGGACCTGAGCTTGAACATCATTTTCTTAGTAAGTTCTGAAAACTACGAAAGATAGAAATTCTCTTACCATCTATTAAAAAAAAAAAAGTTCTAAAATAGCTTACCACTTTAAACCATTTTTGATTGTACATACAATTAGGTGACAAAGTTCATTGACGCTGTTGTGCAGCCATCACTACTGTCAATCTCCAAAACTGTTATCTTCTGCAACTGAAACTGTACCCATCGTTTTAACATTCTTAATTCTCTCTCCCCAGCCTTTGGCAGCCACCATTCTTTCTTTTTTATTTACTTTTTGTCCAGAATCTCACATTTCATTTAACATCCTTGAGATTCACCCATGTTATATAACGTGTCAAGTTTTCCTTCTTGTTATGGCAAAAATCCCATTGTATACCACCTTTTCTCTATCTGCAGAAGACTTGGGCTGCTTTCACTTTTTGGTGGAATATTATGTATAATGCTGCCCAGAACACAGGTATACAAATATATATATTTGAGTCCCTGCTTTTATTTCTTTGGGGTATATGTACACAGAAGTGGAATTACTGGATCACATAGTAAACTGTTTAATATTTTAAGTTTATGCCATATTCCTTTCCACAGTGGTTGTACCATTTGACATTCTTACCAGCAGTAACTGTCGTCTTTCAATTTTTATACATCCTCCCAACTCATTCCCTTTTTGTAATATTCCATCTCTTTTTTTGATGAACATCGATTTATTTTATGGTGCTGAGAATTGAACCCAGTGTTTCATACATGCTAGGCAAGCACTTTACCACTGAGCCACAACCCTAGCCCTGTGATATTCCATCTATTACAATTAGTAAATGGTATCTCATTGTGACTAATTTGCATTTCCTTCACAACTAGTGCTGGTGAGCAACATTTTGTGTTTAGTGGTCATTTCTATATCTTTGCAGAAATGTGTATTCAAGACCTTTGACCATTATGTTAATTAGGTTTTTAGTAGTTTTTCAATACCTCCAATACATGGTTAGCAAGTATTTTCTCCTACCCATGTGTGTTGCCATTTTACTTAATGGAGAGATATCCTGTCTACACTTAAAAGACAATTAAAATCAGATAAAGGAGATCAAGGGCTTAAATGCATACGTTTCCTGAACTATTCTATACACCTCAGATATGGAGGAGCCACATAGAACTCAATGTATAAATCTCTCATAACTAGTGAGTACCTGACAATATGGATGTTTCAGGTGTAAAACATACCCAATGTTCCATAACTTAGCTAGGCCAGGGATAACATTTACCTGTCAAGAGTATCTGAAGTACCTAATACAGTGATGTATATTCAGGGACTCTATAGTTGTTGAATTAAAGTCTTAAAAATACTAATTTTCACATTTATGCAGGGTGATAAAGTACTATAAATCACATAAAATCACAAATCATTTAATCCCATTTAATAAATGGGATCACATTTATTAAATATCCAGCCAAAACTACAAAACTAGGTAATAAGAACCATTGGAGCTCTCGGCAGAAAAAAGAGACAAATCACCAATCTGGTAGAATTTTTATGCAATTTATTCTAGAGCCAAGGAAGACAAAATACATAACCATGTCAGAAATAGGGCTAGGAGGATGAGTGGAGTAAAGGAGACCCAGGGGTATGTGTATTTTTAAATTGGTGACCAAGAGATGAGATTAAACTGAAAGCCCCAGGTACTACAACGAGGCTGAGATGCCTGGAGAAAGAGTAAATATTGACAGATTAGGTAAGTAATGATGGGGGAGTACTATGGGGCTTTGTAATGATCTGCTGTTTTACCAAGCAATAAAGCAGATAAATTTTACCTATGAGTTAATGTGAAAAATCAAACATCATTTTATGAGAGCTTTTAAGAAATATAAAAGAAGGAAGAAAAACTGAGAGCTGTGTAAGTCTATCAAATAGCATTGGAAACATTCAAGCAAGTTTCAAATATTTTATTTTCTTATTCATACAGTATGAAGTTTTCTAAAGATCCCACAACATGACGTATCATGCAGAAGAAAAACTAAACATTCAACATAAACCACCCCCTCCCTTGCCCACCCTTCACACAAACTAAAAAAGAGGAAGAAAAAAAAAAAAAAAAAGGGAAAGAAAACCCCTCATTCCCGAGTAAGGAAATAATGTTTGCACTATTTTTCTATAACGCCAGCCAAGATATGCACAAGCAAGAGAAATAGAAAGCATTTGCTAAAATATTGGTAACAAATAATTATGTACAAAAAATTCACAAAAGACTAGTTCCCCCTTGAAGCAGAGCACATGGCAGTTGACACTGGAACAGATCAAACCACTGGCTGGGATTGTAAGCCACGTACTGATCCAGAGGAAGAAAGTTACATGTAGTGGAGATTTTCAGTTTGAACATTAACATTTCCAAAGTTTGGCAACATTATCTTTTAAAATTATGCAAATTATGTAAACAAGAGGTACATTTTAAATCGATCTACATGCAAAACTCCATG